AGGAAGTGTAAATAATTGAATGGAAAAATAAAAACAAAAAGAAATTACCTCCTGCCTCTCCAATCTCTATGCTGAAGCAAGACTGTAGATAATCATTATCTTGTAGACTTCAGTCCATAGACATACCTTTACTTGTTTGTCTTTAAAACTCTGCAGTTGGAAATGACTAAGATAAGTACTTTTTATTAACAATCTATTAAAAAGAGAATTGTAAGTAGTATATCTCCCCATGAATACATTTTAACCAAAACATTCCCTTCAGTATTGTATGCTCCCACATGCATGTCTGGCTGCCTTTTCTTCCTTTGAAGTGTGCCTTCCTCTTGAATTCCCTCCTGGTCAGCTACATATATCTCTGCATGCTAGCAGAAATTCCCTGAGGTTTTTAGGAGGATTCCTGTGGCTTGTCCTGACTGACTTCGCGTTCCGCTCTGAACTTGTGTGTGTGGACGTGGAAAGGGTGGGACAGAGGGATATCAATGTAGACCTAGAAAACATTTGCCAAGCTTGTCTTTACACACTGCCTGGCATGGTCTCGGGACTTTGTGACAATGTTTGGAGACCTGGGACAGAGATGGGAAAGATTTGGTTTTGAAAGAAGAGGCTTCAAGAAAGGAGACTCTGTCATAAATTGGCCATTATTGGGGGGAAAGTTAAAAAGAAGAGTCCTCTGGCTCATAACAGAGCAGAAGTGTGGGAGTGAGTGTAGTAACTGATCCTGAAAGTTCCTGACAGTGCTTCCGAGAGGCTCCTGGTACTTGCTCTCAAAGGCAGGTCGTGTCTTTTCTTTTGTCTTTTCTTCTCTGCTAATTTCAAAACCTTCTCACTCTCTTCTCATTGGCAGCTCTACCAGAAATGGAGTTGAGGGAGGGATGTAAGCTTGGGATTTGAGCCTGTTTTCAGAGTCTCTATAGGTTAGTGCCAGGATATTCTGTCCATTTCTATGTCAGCCCATCTCTAAGGTATTTTTAAAGCATAAGAGCAGTCTACTGCCAGGCGTCTCTTAACTATAGATTATAAATAGCGCCTGGTTAAGAATGTTCTGGATGGGTTAATTAGAGTGGTGGCTATTATGAAGCAAACTGCTTGTTAGTATTATGCCTGTTTGAACTTGGTATTGATGAGAAGTAATTGACCACAGAACTGCATCCAGAAAGGCAGAAAGGGTGTTGTTTTTAATTTCTATTATGGCAATAAATTGTTTGCATAAACATGCCTATAGAAATATGAGCTCCAGGGCACAGAGACTCAGGTTGTGTGGGGTGGTGAGTGATATTGTTTTGTTTGATTTTCAGATTAACGTATTTGTCCAGTCTACCTAACAGCCAGTTTTATTGGCTACTAGTATTATAACTACTTTATAAATAAAGTAGTTAAAATGTGTTGTATTTTCTGCTATCACTTTTACTGCAAAGTATATGAGAATAGTGTTTTTAACTTACCAGAACTAAAGGAGGCATCCTGTTAAATTCAGGTAATACATAAGTATTTCGTTGGTTGACAATCACTATAATGAATAGACTGTTTAAAAAATGTGAAAAGATGTATAAATAAGGGAAAATTGCTTGTAACTTCCTTCTTCTAAGTACTGGATTGTTATCTATGTTATTTATTGGTATTTTGTCCAGCTCAATTATTAAGTTTCCCTAGCTCTAGCATTCCATGGGGAATTTATTCTATGAGCTAATAAATTATACCATCAGGGAGTTTTTCTTGAAATTCAGCTTAAAATTTTCTATTCTTAATTTCATCTCATTATTCCTAGTTATACCCCCTTGTACCAGGCTAAATAATTATTCTTTCTCCTTAGAGACACCTATTATGTGTCCGTCTAGTTGTCACTGCACCAGCCATTCATATTTAGCTCCTTTAATCTGTCCTCATAAATCAACACTTCCATTGCCTTAATCATTATTATTGCTCTTCTAAGATCTCTCTAATTTTCAAACATATACAGTTGTCAGGGATTCCAGTGAAACCAGCATTTCACAGAGACCTTTGCAGGAAGACCCAGAACTCAGGTGCTGTTTACCTGGCATGTCAGCACTTGCTTATCAGGCCAGGTCAGAGTGTTTTCAGTGACATTTTCCTTATGTCCATCCTTGTTTCAGGATTGGTTCTGATTTCATGGGTGTGTGGGATGTGTAAGCTCTTTGAGTTTATATCTTGCATCTTCCATGTCCTTATTCACTACCATCTATCAAGGCAGCTGCCACAGATGTATTAGCAGGAGAGTCTGATCATCCCTTAGAATGTCTGGAGAGCCTGTGGAATGACCTAGAACCTGCCCACCACAAAATTCCGTGTCTGTTGTCAGCCTCTATTGTTTATAGCCCATTTGCCAATTTCCTATCTCTTTCATTGCAGTTTGCCTCACATGCTGGTCAGTAGAAATGGATTTTAATAGAGTAAGATGGGTCCCGATACTGTTTTCTAAAAATGAAGATGTGGTTTCAATGCCCATTGATTTGTTACTGTGAATCCTTTATACTTGGTCTGTAATTTTGTTGTACTCTTTTCGTTTTGCTGTCGTTCTTTATCTGCATAAACAGTAGACTTACATTTCTGCTGCTTTTCAGATGTGGCTGAGGCTGGAGGCTCCTTCTCTTACCATTTGTCCTTCTGTCCAGAAGTTAAAAATCTGTCTCTGTTTCTGTCTCTCCCTTCACCTTCCCCCACTCCCTCCCTCTCTTACACACACATGCACACACACACACACCACACCACACCACAAACACACGCGCGCACACAGTGAGAACTGTTGATACCCTTCATATGTTGAATTTATTTTAGGAAGAAGGTAAGTTCATTTGTTCCTTTAAAACTTCTGCACTTTTGAGGTAGAATTACAGTCTATACATGCCCAGGCTTCTTCCCATTTTAAATCAAAAATCATATTATTTTATTAAGGTACTTGTAGAATTGGTACCATAATTTGCACCTTCTCTGTATGTGCTGCCATCTGCTTAGCACTGGGAAGGAAGGTGTTCCATAAATCTCATTGGCTCTTCTCTACCTGTTAGAAATCAGAATAGATATCAGGCTTCATAAAACAAACCTAAGACTCCCTGGAGACATTTTTTGATTTTAGAATCTCCATGGTGTGCTATAAAAAGGCTACTCAGTTCACTTACACTTCCCTATGCTTTCTAGTGTTGCTCATCAGACCTGTCTTTAGGCCCAGTTAACGCTCTCTCCCTGTTCCGTAAGCTCTGTCTTCACTCCTCAGTGCACCTGTGTTTGTGTGTTTGTTTTTAATATCTTTCACTGCATATTGTTTCTGCCCGTCCTTCTCCCCCAGGAGGCATATATGTATACATGTGTATGTCTGTAATTCTCCTCTCCGCCACTGTTAGCCTTGCTTGAAATAAGGGGCCTGAACCAGTGACTTCATGAAGTAAGTCTTCAGATTCCATGTCTGGTATCTGAAAGGTTTTGTTTTGTTGTTTTATTTTTCTGTTTCCTTTCCTCTTTCCTTCAGCTTTGCAGGAAAGCCATTTTTCCTGCAAACCATTTTTTACAAACCATCCCTTTTCAATAAATCCTGCCATTCATCGTATATTACAATATTTTCTTCTGTTGCTCAAGACTTTCCTGTCTTCAGAACCCGACCTGTTTACTTAGCAAGTGTCCCCTGGGAAATAGTCCTAAGTCCTTTATCCACCTGCCCCCTGCCTCTCTCTCACTCATCAACCCTTGTCTTCTGCAGGGTTTCTGCCTCTTCCACCTGCAGAAACTCTGAGCATTAGCAGCCATCAGCATGGGACTGGTCCAAGTGCTGAGCAGCCGTCCTCCAGGCCCTCTGAAAGGTCTCGTGCTTCTGTTTACACATCCTGTGGAGAAAGGCTTTCGGTTCATCTCTGGAGTGTGGCATTGCTCTCTCAAAATCTCTTTCTCCACTTGGGTTCCTTATTCTACTTCCAGAAGGTTTCTTCCCTGCCTACCTATAAGTACATGTATTCCCTATTTATTCACTGGCTCCACTATTAAGGTAGTGACCTAGACTCTGAATGGGCTTACAGAATTCCAAGAGTTCAGTCACCCAGCCCAGGCAGCTCCTCCAGACCTGCATCCAGGACTCTAGGTTGTGTGCTATTTGCAGATGAGACCCTCTTCCTCTCATGCTCTCTACTATCCTCTCAATGCAGAACTTTCCTGACCTGTAAAATCTTTCAATAAAGTCCTCTTTTAAGCCTTTACTGGTCTGTAAGTCAAGAATACTCTTTTATTCCCCAGTTTCGAAAGTTAAGGTGTCTATTGTGTGTAAAGTGTTGCCAACATAGGTTAGTTGGCTGTTCACTCACCTTTCTCCCACTCTAAGTACTTGTGGTTTGGTCCCCAGAGATGGATATCACCTTGAGGTTAGATCTTATAATGGTATCGGTGACTCTTTGATTGTACATTATATTATGACTTTGTTTTTAAAGGCTTTTGTTGGTTCTTTGAAAATCAGTAGCATATTTAACTCTGTTTGACAAAAAGCATTATAGGAAAACATAGAAATGAAATTGAGTAAAATATACTTCAGGAAATATCAGACTGATCAATTTAATAGAAGGCATGTATAGGTTCCCAGGAGTACAAAGCAGCCACATGAACAGAAGTAGAGTTAACAAAGGAAGTTTCAAACATTGTCAATGAATAATAAATGCTCTAAGACATGGAGTGACTGAAAAACACAAAATAGGAATCCAAAAAGACAAATGAGTGGCAAATAATAAAGTACATCTATAGCCTCGTGATCTACAGTGTGTGCCACACGCATTTGTAGCCACAAAACCTCTTTGGAAACTTCTCAGGGACAATTTGACCAACTTCAAACCTTTGAGCTTTCTCTTGGTGACTAATACTTGCTGCTTTTTCCTGAGGACTGTTGTCATATCATCTTTGCTTTCTCTAGTTTGGTATGTCGTCATTGTGTCCTTACAGGAAGGTAAGGGACTCGTTTTACTTTTTTTCTTTTTCACAAAAAAACATATTGCATTCCCTTTTTGTAACAGATTCATGCCCAAGCACAAAATAGCCCACTTAAGGAGGATGCTCAGCCTTAATGGAAATGGTGTTGCTGCTCTGCCCGTGATGCCTCCTTTCCAGCCAGAGCAGAGGGATTCTAAGAAGTTATTGGAGAATTTTAAATCACAGTCTGAGGAACACCCTGACCTTGATGCAGGACAGGAAACCCTGGACAATCCATCTATCCAGAAACCAGGCTTGGAGAAGTCAAGTTTGTCAGAAGATAATTCCGGCTTTCTTCCTATGAGCAACTGTCTAGATATTGATCCCAGCAACCTTTTGTGTGGAGCTCATGATCAGCAGAGACCATTGCATATCACATGGCCTCACAGGTGGTAAGTCAAGACATGCCAGTTTACTAAAAGTTTTACAAAATGGGTTCTAATGGTGGGCTTTCCAATCTGCTGTGCTTGTAGCCTCTAAAGAAAAAGATCACTTGAATTTGCACTTAGAGTTTCACATAGTTATACACTAGCACAGAACCAAGGCAGCACTGCTCACAGCTGTACATTAATTGCTGTGTTTTTACTTTATATGTGGATTACAGAAGACGTTTGTAATGATTTGTTCAACTAGCAATAGCAGCCAGACACATTTAGAAAATCAAATCTTACTCAAGAAGTTTCAAAGTAGAAAAATCAGATGCCATTATACACTCACAGAGAGTGCTAATCCAGAATTAATTCACATATGGACATCAATAAACCGCATCACCGTTCATGCAATAATTTCCATTCTTTACTCTTACTTTGACCAGTGTCAACTGGACAGCTTCCCTTTGCTTGTCATAGTGTATTAGTGCACGGGAAGCCATCTACCTCCTATCAGATGCCTTTGTATTGTGCTAGACAAACTGTCTAGCTGAATTTCTTCTCATTACAGGAAAGTCAGTGCAGCATATAATCCCACCAAATATAAACTCATAAACCTAGCCCTGGTTTCTATAAATTAGGCTTTAAGGAGGTAAAATGTCCTGATAATCTTCTGGTATTAGGCATGAATATTTTAATCTAGTTTTTATTCCTCCCAGTTAGTTTAATCTGCATGTGGCCTGATTTGAGTTGCTTCCCCTACAGATTATGGCCTCTTTATTGCAGCAGTGCTGGGCTGATCGTTAGGTCCGATTGAAGCAACTGTCTGCAGGTGAAGTAATAAGCACACACACCGGCAGGAAGGCGCCTTTGCCCAGGATTTGCCTCCAAGCACATTAAAACTCCTCAAGCTCTCCCAGTTGATCTACAGCATCTGGTACCTAAAGGGATTTTGTCTTTGATTCTAAATGCATGAACCTGAAATTTAGGGGCTAACCGTTGTTAGGAGATGCAGTTTGGGGACTGTTTGTTCACCGTCACCCTTCCAGCTTCATGTTGTACTCAGAATGTCACAAGGCTCAGTATCCTTTCATGTGATTTGAGATGCCGTGGGTCAGGATGAAATGAACCCTCTTTGAAGGTAAAATACACATCCTCATTTACCAGCTTCTGAAAATCTCTCTTGTTCCATTAACCTTTGCTTCTAAGTGAATAGTTATTACAAGAAAATCAATTCTTAAAAGTTTGGTTCTAGATTTTCATAAAAATGTTCAATAATTTGGAAACTGGGTATAAAACACCAGTGTAGAGGCAAGATTGAGAACCGTGTTATTCAATACTTTGCATAAAATTAGGCAGAGCTATGTTAATAAAATTAACAATATTAAATTGAATAATTCCCTCTCTTCCTTTGTATATTTTTGCTTTAATTTAATTTAATTGCCTAAAGTTAGTTGCTTAAAGAGATGCAGCATGATGTTTGTGCACATTCTTATTGTTAAGGCTAAATTATTTTTAATTTGGAGAAGAGGGGAAAAAAGCCGCATCAGCAAGAGTAAATGCCAAAATATAAAAGTAACACATTCATCCTTACGGGTAATATAGTAGAACATTGGAAACTTGGAGGTTGCCAGACACATAGCTAACATTAGGGCTAATTTTGAAAATCTAGCGTGCAGTCAATTTTACTGATGCCTGGGGACATACAAGGTAGAAGCTGACAAGAGAACTAATTTTGTTTGGGTTATTTACTGCTATGCATCATCCACGGGTTCCCGCCTGACACACAGCTATATGAAGGGGATATTATCACACACTAAAAATTTATGTTGACATTCGATATTTGTTCAATATGTCAGCAGTATTACTTTCATAATCAAAAGAGTAAGAAAAAGAAAAAAGAAAAGCACTTTATGCTCATATAGATATATCTTTTTAATAACAGTCTATAAGGTTAATATAGTTTACCTTTGAGAGTATACAATGAAAACAAGCAGGGTTAGGAGGGGAAATGACAGAAAGCATCAACCCGAGCTGTTTGTTTGCCATTACCTACGCGAGCCATGTCAGCTCTCTGGCCCGCGTCTGATAGCTATTTGTTGTACAGAGAGCACAGCATAAAAAAAATATCAAACTCTTAATACTATTGTGTGCCCATAACCATCTGTCACTGCTAGCCTGGAGATGAGAGGAAGATTAGGAGGAATAAACACTGAGCCGCCGAGCATTGGTAAAGCCTTCGGGCAAAAAACTCTTGTGGGGACATCAAAGACATTCTAATTCCGAGGCAGTCAAGGATTACAGTGTGTAACCTGTGCTGACAACAGATAAATGACTGGCAATATTGTGCCAGAGCTGTTGGGTCCTGCATGGAGTACTGATGATGATGATGATGATGCTATCTTGCAGAATGGACTCTGCTGGGATAATTTTATGATAAAACACTTTTTTCAAATGCCACTGGGTCTAGGCAGACATTTACTAGCTACAGGGGTAGCAATCAGTTTCTTCAAAATTTACTGTTCTAAGCCCATTAGAGTTCCGGCACAGCAAGACTCTCCAATGAAAAGCTAAAATGCCTATGTTTTCTTTAGGAGAATATATGCAAATGTTGGGAGCTGAATTCCTACCCTTTAGTGGTAGGTGCTTTATCATCTGATTTATGTAAATTTGCTCATAAAAATCCAGTTTATTTTTAATTGGTGAATATGAATTAGAAAATTAAGACTCTGGTTCAGCATTCATCCCCAGCTTCAAGCACACATTCATTTAGATTTCCAATTGTATGGCTGAAAATCCCATCATTGACCTATCACTATGAATGGTGTTGTGAAGGAAAGCAAGATCTCACTAGAAGTGAGCAGAGCTGTCTGGGTCTCCTGTGCAGCCCTGTTCATTCATACCTCCGTGTTTAGGCTCACTATGTGTGCCCTTGTCTGAACCTGAGCACTTTAACTTGTGTGTTCCTTCTACGTAGCTATGGGAAGCTCTGCTGTCCATTGCATTTTTGATTGGCCATACGCATTTTCCAGAGAGGTGCTTCAGGAAAGAATATGCATAAATGAGAAATGGACAGGGGAGATAACACTGTCATAAAACTTGTCATAAGAAATATATCATGAAATCATGCAGTGGTTGTAGCTAACTGGAAATGAAGTGATGGTGACTTCACAGAGTTTCTTCCATACTGGCATCATGAGTGGTCTCAAACACAATGTCAGCGTCTATCATAACTTGTAGTACATCAACCAAATGTAGATCCTCCTTGGTAAAATATGTATCAAAATCAAAAGTGACATTTTTAGAAGATACATTCTGGTTTTGTATCTGTGTTAAAATGTCTGCATGAGAGCAGCCCCTTAAACACAAGGTTTACCCCCTTTGGTCGTCTTCCTGAGCCGAGATTGTCAAGGATTATAGTGTACAACCTGTGCTGACAGTAGATAAATAACCGACAGTATTTTAGCAGAGTTCCTGGGTTCTCTGCAGTCTGATTCATTTTCTCCTTTCTACCCAGTCTTTAATGTCTTGTTATAAACATCTGTAGCATGGCACTGCTAATAGAAATGGCTTAGAGAAAGACCTGTGAAAAACACTGCATTTGGCAGTGCTTGTTTTTCTAAGCTGTTTCTTTCCAAATAGTAAAGCATCATACCAGCTTCCAATCTTTATGTAAATGTTTCTGTATCATAGTGGGCACAAAGACATACTGCTAGGTGGAGAGTCAGAACAAGTTTAGAACACAGTGGAAGCTCCCCCTTGTCCAGGCCCCTCTCCTCCAACTCACACTCCTAAAATTAGAGGGCCAGGGAAATGGTTCAGGGGTGAAAGCTCTGACACAGGAAACCTGGTGACCCGTGTTCTTTCCTCCAAACCCATGAAAATGTGGAAGGAGGGTTGTCCTTTGTCCTCTGTGCATACATGTGCTTGTCCACCCCCACACACACACAAATGCACACACTCTCATTGTAACAGTAAAATTTTACAAAATTGGTAGGACACCAAAGACTTTTGTTTCGATTATGCCTACAAGTATTTACTGTTTTAGACCTGAAAACTGAGGAAGAGTCTGTAAATCACATTGTCTACATTGTGTTTTGTTCTGTTTTGTTTTGTTTTTTGTCCTTTTCCTTTGTTTGTTTGTTTACAACAGAATCTCCTGTAGCTCTGGCTGACCTTTAATTTGCAGGGATCCACCTTCCTCTGCCTCGAGCACTGTGAGTGCTGTGATAGGGCAAGAACTACTATACCCAGGTCACATTGTCATTTTAAATGACAAGAACACATTAAAGCACATACTAACACAAATCATGTTTTGTGAAAAATATAATTTCAAAAATAAAAAATACTAGTAAAGAATAACATTAATTCACATCCCTGTACCTGTTGCAATGTGTTGTTTCAGTAGAAGATTGTGAAGAAGAGTCTGCCTTGTAGAGCTGTCACCTTGAAAGGAGTATTGTTGGGCCTATTCTGCATATTGTAGATGCTCTTTGATGCTATAGCAGACAAGAAGGGTTTGTTTTAGGTTAATTGCACTGTGGAATTTGGAGCCAGCACAATATCCATTGTCTATTCCCTGTGAAGTGAATAGATTTTTGGGAGGGCTTTGTGTATAGGTCACATGGAAAAGAGAGACTCACAGAATAATTCAGGTCTGCTGTGTGTTGACATGGTTCATCATGTGATTTTGGGATGTCACTATGAATCTAAGAAACATGCTTGAGTTTTCGAAAGCTCTTAAGCTTTTGGTATAGCTACAGTTTCACCAAAATTCTATCGGACATTTAAAAGCTAGAATTTATGATAGGAAGCGTATATATTAGTTATTTTCTTTAAAAACTAGTTTCACATGGTTTGCATTTGAAAATATTTGCTATACTCAAGTCATATTATCAGTGGTGTGTCTAGCGTTCATTCAGATAAACTCTTTGCTAAAGAAAGAAGCTGTTTTATCTCTTATGTCAAGCATTCATACAAATATTCATCCTAAAGATAGTTGTATCTTAATTTGCATGAAAGTT